GTCCCTAAAGTGCTGCGAGCGCTGCGATGCGGCTGCTTCTGGGGTGGGGGAGCTGCAAACCGGGTAGGAAAGTGCTGGGACTTGGCATGCCCGGCATGGGGGTTTCCTAGGCATTTACCTGTCCCAAGCACACGCTGCTTAGGGAGTGCAGAGGAATCCTCTGCAGCTGCCGGGACACGGCCCGTGGCAAACAGGCTTCATGTCCTAGGGCACTTTCACCCCCTTCCCCGGCGGAAGCACGCACCAAATGGCTTTCACGTGCTGCAGAAAGGCCGTCTTGGCGCCAGCCTTAGGGAAAAAGGTCATGCCCTGATGCTCGTGCAGCGTCCGGTCGCACACTGGGTAGGAGCAGGTGGGCTGAGCATGCATCCTGGTTGTTGGCGCGTGCCAGCGTGAGCTGAGATAATCGAAGTGTGCTCCCCAGCAGAAATATCCCATTCGGCCAACACGTCATGCTCTGACACGGGTTGCATGCAAGGAAAACCCCTTGTCCCTCGGGCTGCTGGGACTGGCGGGGCAGGAGCGCAGTGTTTCACCCAGGCATGCGTGGAAGCCGGAGGAGCACGTTAGACCATCTCCTCGGCCCTTAGGAAAGCCCGGAAAAGACCTTGCAAGGTCCTCCGGCCCAACCCTCTGCTCGAGCAGGACCTTGCACAGAACCGAGATTTCATCCATCCTTGGGGGATTCGTAGCAGACGCGGGATACGAGTCGGTCTGGAGCAGCTTAGGAGCAGCCTGCCCGGCCTCTGTGCCTTGGGGCCTCTTGAGGTCCCATCCTTTCTAGGAGAGATTGGTGCAACCGTCCTCAAAGAGCACCTCTTGATTTTAGAGGAGCTTGGATTATGCATCCAGATCCCAGTTGTAGACCTGTCTCTGGTTTCTCCAGCTGGGAAACTTCCATTTCCGCCCTCCGCGCGGTCACTTGCTAGTAAAGGAAGCAGTTATACCGGCTGCCCGACAAGGCACTGGCTTTGAGGAAGCCCCTTGTTATGAATAGGATCTCTGTTCTGAGCTGTCATTAAGATCCAGCTCCAGATACAGCTCCGAGATGCTTTGAAGGGGAAACGGCGTCTCCGATTCAGGGGCCCCCATGCTTCTCCGTTCAGAGAAGAGCTGGGGGAAGGGGCTCGAGGTTGGGGGAGAGACGAGGCCACCTTTTCATCTGCTCCCTCCATAAGTCAGTTAGAAGGTGTCCGAGGTAGAAATGTTGGTGCCGTTAGAAAGTAGGAAGGAAAAAACGCGCAAACTTGGAGTGAAACGTTTGTTTCCCTTGGAGGTTTGGGATGGGACGGGCGTTTTTCATTCGGGGGACGGGCTTCGACCCGTGATGGAGCCATTAAAAGAAAAAGTCAAAGCTATTTCAAAATGTTTGGGGTGTCGGGATCTTCCCTCCCCAAACGAGGAAACGTTTTGCAAAACAGCGAGGCAGATTCCTCTTCTCATCGCTGTGTCTTTGGAGCACATCTCGCCAGGAAAGGGCTGAAAGTCTCCCGCAGCGCCTTGCCTTGCCTTGCCTTGCAGCGCTCACCTTGGAAATGCAAAGCGTTGGGGAAAGGCAATCAGTGATGATATCTTGTATTAGACCAACAAGATTTTTGCAAAACAATTTCTTTCACTGCAAGCTTTTGCGCACCAACGCCCTTCATTGGGCATCGGTGGAAAGGTGGTAAAAGTTCTCCTGGAGATTGGGGAGCGGTGGGTGTCTGGGAGCAAGTT